AATAATTATGTATAAATAAGAGTTTAGGATTATGATTATATCACTTAAATCACATATATAATTTGTTTCATTTCATTTACTTTTCTTAACTCATTCCTAGTTTTATAATTGGATGATTAGCACATTAATTTAATTTGTGTCAATTATTAATACAACAATTATATATATATAAATAAGATGAACAACATATCATATCACCAAATATAATCATATCACGAAACATAATCGTACCACCAAATATAATCATGCTTTTTGAACACATCACCAAATATTTGCATATTTATTCATACCATCCTTTAAAAAAAAAAAAAAAAATTATACTTATTATTTTTAAAAATTATTTCTTAAAACGTATTACGGTCTAATTATGTAATAACCTCAAAAACAATACTTGGTTTTATTATTTTTGTAGAAAATCTTATTAAGTTGTGTGACTTTATTAGGTGTTTTATGAATTTGGTTTGATGTGAAAATATTGGAATTAAGTGAGTTTAATATCAAATTTGGACTAAAATGCCTTTATGATTAAGTTTATGATTTTTTTCGATTGAAGTAGGCCCGTTTTGGCCCGGCCCGTTGGGCTTAGCCGGGCCCGGCCCGATGGGCTTTCTCAAGCCCGGCTCATGGGTCGGGCTTGGGCTTTGAATTTTCTAAAAAAACCCGGCCCGGCCCGCTATTCTCTCTCTCCTCTTTAAAACCTGGCCCGGCCCGGCCCGGCCCATTGACGAGCCCTAATACTAAGTTATTTTTGTTTAGCCATGCTTTGACTTTTGCCATTTTGACTTTGAGGAAAGTAGTCATGTTTTTGTCAGATGAACTCCAAGAAACCTCAAACTGTAGGAACCCCATTTTGGATTGTCTCACTATGAGTTATTGCTTCAACTTTCGAAACGGAATCGATGCTTCTAGTTTTGACTTGCGATAATCAACTTCATGGAATCTTTAAATTAACTTTTGGGTAAGAGTTACTTGTGTTGTAACATCCTGACCCGAAAATATTGATAAGTTTGGGATTTAATTAAATTCAAGAAATGTGAATACAATTTTGCCTTCGGGGTAGGGGTAAAATAGTCATTTTAATCCGGAAGGATTTCGGGGCAGTGGCTAGTACCTTTACGTAGGTCGTACTGAGACGAGTCCATAGACGTGTGGTAGGCTTGAATCGGAGTTGTAACGAGAAAGGTACGAGTAAAACATTACCAGTAGCACAATCGTTAATAAGTTGAAGTTTAAATTTTATTAAAAAGTCAGAAAAGCCCCTCATTTCTCTCTCTCTCTCTCTCTGTTGATCGCAAGCAGCCCTCCCCCTCCCATTTTTTCTACACAGCCGGTGGCTCCAAGG